GTCCCCATCAGCCACCGTCAGCTGTGTCTACAAGGGACATGGGGAAGGAGCAAAGCGTCAGCCAGCCTTGAAGTCAACTTCCAAAAGAGCTGTTGTCACCCAAGAAAAATGGGACTTTAGCACCCTCTCATGCGCATCACTAACACGCTGTCAGAATTTTTCATTCAGGTCTCTGGGGCTTTGAATCCTTGGGAAGCAGAACCCTGGAGATGCGAAGAGCCACTGATGTGTACACAATTGTGTCTTTCTCATCTACAATAGAGGGGTTTCTAAAAGGGTTTATTGTCTGAGGAACAATTAGAGGAAAATTCAATTTCCCAAGCCCTTATTTGAGTTTCTTCAGAAAACAAACAAAACCAAGCCAATTATCATTTGAGGTACAGATGTGGGAAAGAAGATGGAACACGTATATAGAATGTACAATAAAACCACTGTCCCCTTCTGTGAATATCTGATTACTGAAAAATTATCAACAAATCATGAACATGCTTTTGTTTCAGTTTTTGTTCTTAGAAATCTGTGGGAAGTTCCTTTTGGCTTTAGATGCTGAGAGATTTTGTTCTACTTGGGAAATAGAAGTCTGTAGCCAAGATAGAATCGGTTCCTTCTCACTGCTGTCAATGGCCATGCCAAGGCCTGGTCAGCCACAGCCACCCGCTATCCAGCCAGGTGTTTATGGGACTTAGGGTTAGGGTACTTGTTACCGAAGCAGGGAGTCCACCTGAAGATGCAGGAAGGACTTGTGATGGGACTTTGGCTTATTGGCGGGGGGGGGGGGGGGGGGAAGGCTGGGGAAGTTCAAGAAAGCAAGGGCTTGTTCTGGATGAGTGCTATCGTGAAGAAGGGGAGCCATTTTTTAATATAAATTGCAATATATCTAGTATTTTCTTGAAACAGGGTCTCACTATGTAGTTCAGGGTGGCCTGGAACTTGCAGCACTCCTCCTACCTCAGCCTCCCCTCCTGCCTCAGCTTCCTGAGTGCTGGGATTACAGGCATGTGCCATCACATCTGGCCCCAGTACTTTTATTAGGAAGTGGGAAGAACAGAGTGGGCTAAGGCTGTAACTGGTGAAGACATAGCTGTTTGTCTGGAAGCTGCATGTAATGCCAATGGTAGGTTATTTTGTGCTTTGCAGTATTCCTGTTTTTGATAGCTGATATCTGCCAGGCCTGCTTTGTTTTCAGCCACTATCAATGTTCCCCTGCAGATCTAAAGGTCTTTGGGGCTTATTATGCTTTCCTTTATTGTCCCTTCAAAATTTAAAAAGCCAGATAAATGTATAATCATCTTTCTAGATTCTATATTTTCAGACTTAGCTTTTGATTTGAAGTCATCATAAAGGGTATGAATCCAACCGTGTACCAGATTTAAATTCTCACGAGGCAGGACCACCCCACCAATAAGCCACAGAAAGTGCAACTTAGCCGGAATCAAGGTCCCCTCTATCCTTACCTCTCACTGATGTTGCCTGAGCGCCTTCTGAAGACTCCATCTAATCTTCAAGGTAAAGAGAATCATAAAAAAAAGTGCTTCCCCTGAACTTGCTGCTTCCCACGAAAATCCAAAGCAGAATATTTTGGGGGTGTTTTCTGAGCCCCCAAATGGCTTGGTGGTCTAGGCTAAAAGTTCCAGAGATAAGAGGGAGCCCTGTGGTTAGCAATGTTACAGGAAGGCACTGCGAAGGTACGATTGGGTTGGATCTCAAGTGATGATATGCTAGGTAGTTTGAATTATGGACTTTAATCCTGTACACCTCTCTGAATCTTCTTCCCTACGTGTCTTATCACAAAGTGTGTCTCCTCTACCCTTGACATGGCTTTTGGCCATGTGATTTGCTCTGGCCAGTGGCATGGGGTGAAAGTGAAGACCAGCCAGTTCAAAGACCTCTTCAGAGAGCTTGTAAGTTTCTACTGATGCCCCTGCCAGCACACGCAAAGAATCTGCTCTGAAAAGCCTGGGAAGTGTGAAGCCTGAATAAACCCTCTAGTCCTCTCACTTCTCTTGCTTTGTGTTGGTTTTCAACATATTTATTTCACAGGGGATTGAACCCAGGGTCTTTACACTGGCCTAAATCCTCAACCTTTGAGACAAGGCCTAGATAAATTGCCCAGGCTGGCCTCCACCTTTCCATGCTCCTGCCTCAGCCTCCCAAAAGGCAGGGATTACAGGTGTGCACCACTACAATGGCCTGTAAGTCACCAATTTTAGGGCTGATGTGGTTTAGTGGTATTTTATTAGGCTCCCACTAGCTCTACTGTAGATCACACCCTGACAGGTGGGTAGCGATGGTAACTTCTGGAGGCCACTTCTGTCTCAGTTAGGCACATTGAAACCCTCACCCTTTTCACAGGCCCGTGCCAGTGTCTGCTGAGTAACTTTTTTATTTTAGAAGCCCCAATTGCCCTCAGATGATGCAGACACCACTATCTCCTGGATACCTGTTCTATAAAGATTTCTGAGGTTTGATCATACGTGTGCAGCTCACGATTTCACTTTTCTTTCAGTCACTTTCCCATATTCCTCTTCTGCTTCTTTATCCTAAAACAGCCCAGCTATCCTGGGGGAGGTACATTTGAGACTTGCTCTCCCATCGCCTCATTTACCCACTTCATGAATAAACCTGCTCTCTTTTGCTAAGCTCACAATTTCAGTGACTGTCATCCTGTGTGCAGACCAAATGGACCTGGTTTGCTAACAAGAGAACTCCCTTAGCAATTCAGGGCTGCCCAGAGGAACTGAGCTGCTGGTGGCAGAATGCCCAGTCGAGCCCAGACTAGTCCAGCCACAATGGTAGAAAACTTTTCCATTTTATCTGGAAATACTTATAAAAATAGTTAAACTTTCTAGATCTCAGTTTTACCAAGTGAAACATCCTTCTTATAGTGCTATCAATGAGAAATCTCTAAGAGTGAATAGGAGCATGTCTAAACTTTAAAAAAAAACTTTACTTTTAAAGCCACAAAATTTTAATTTTAAAAACATATAGGTTTAACTCCCACCTTATACATATGACTTTCTTAGACTACAATCACTGAGAACAGGGCTGAATTCCCCTCCTCCTGATACTATGTTGTACTTTTTTTTTTTTTGGTTTTCCTCCGGTACCAGGAACCGAACTCACGACCTTGCACTTGCCAGGCAGGCACTTTGCTGCTGAGCTAAATCCCCAGCCCCTTCTTTTCTTTTTTGAGACAGGGTATAGCTATGGGAGTTATGGGAACAAAGCAATAGCATACTAATAAATTATATTTACAGAAAAAAAGACTTGTTCTGTATTGTCTGGCAACTCTTGCTCCAAATGATTATGGCTCATTATACTCCTAGAAATAAAGTTGGAAGACACTGCAATCTGCATGGAATGTGACACACAAAGCTCACGCACAGCTTCACAGTCTTGGATTTACTTTTTTTTTTTTGAGACAGGGTCTCACTACATAGGCCAGGCTGCTGCTGAACTCACTATGTAGCCCAGGCTGGCTTTGAACTCAAGGTGATCCTCTTGCTTCAGCTCCCGAGTGCTGGGATTACAGGTGTGCACCACAATATCTGGCTTTCTTGAGTTTATTTTGAAGTGCCTAGCTGAGCCAAGAGGAAGAGCCCTCCTTTTTGTTTTTGTAGTTGCAGCAGTTGAAACATGGCTAGTATTGTTGGGTTTGGCATCCCCTGTAGTAGAAGAACAGAAGTAAAAGGTGCAAACATGTTAATATAATCAATCCATTACAGAATCCATGATGGGTCTGCAGAAGATTTCACCACTGGTTTGAAGATCTTGTCTCTCTATGGCCACATGTTCCAGGATAGCATCCACAATGATGATTTATGGTAAGTTATGAATTATCTTTATGAGGTGGATTTGGTGGATCCTGTTAGAAGGAATCTAGCATATTTATTGTTGGTTTCATCTATATGGTTACTTGGAGTATGGTACTTTCTAGGCAAGAATAACCATTTCTTTTTTAGAAATTAGTATTATTATGGTGTTGTTTTATACATGTTGTGGTTATACATTTCTGCTGGTTATTCAAGACCAGTTAAAGTGAGACCTGTATTAATTAAAACTAACTCCTTGCTATCTATCAAGGTCAACTAAATCTCCTCTGGATTTACCTTGGCACAATGTACTGTGCCTCTCACTTCTACCAGTGTAAGCCTTCTGGTTGAGTCATGGCCATTGCTTGACCAAGTTGCTTTCTCTGAAAGCTTGGGAGATGTTTCTCTCCTGGTGACTCTCCTTTGGCACACTATACACTGTAGAATCACTTTCCTCTGTGGTTCCACAATCTCCTTGATCAGAAGATCAGGGACTCAATTGAGTTACAGGATGTCAAAGCAAAGGTTCTCTTATGTCCTGGGTCCTCATTGATCTTGGAGGGCTAGAGCTAAAAACTGGCTACCTGCTTAGCCCATCTATCTTTCTAATTTTTGGTCTCCACACCTTAGTTGTTGAACATCCAGAAGAGAAGGTTAATGACATTATATTGTAGTGGGAGCACCTTGAAATATAAAGTATTGTCAGAGAACTGTTGTTTTTTACCAACCACGGAAGTTCTAGTAGTTATATCCCTATAGAATGTTAACAGACAACAGCTATATAGTTTTACAGAGAAAATTTGATATCAAAAGCCATACATAGTAGTGTAACATAACAGGCATGATGACATTTTTGAAATACATTTAAATCTTCATCTTGGAATAGCATTTGACTGATGACCTTATACTGGCCTGACGTGAACCTCTTATTACAAATATCTGGGGCACAAGAGAAAGGAAGATGTCTATCACTATAAACAATCCCAGTTTTACATTTTAGAATAATGTACATTTTGAAGGTATGAATACATGTAATACGTCATGAAATTAGCAATAACAAATTGTCATTATTTTGTTTCTTGATTTAGCTTTGTACCATGAACATCTTTTAATCAGAAAACCTTATCGTCTTATTTTTTGAAAACTTAACCTTTTGATGATGACCAATCTAAATATATAACAATCATATATTTTGAACAATATTTATTGGGGTGTCTCCCATAAGGCTATGGAGATTATTGGGGCTTCCCATTAATGATCAAGGACTGGAAGAATGTTTCCAGGCAACTGCTTCCTTATGCATCAACTGGGAGTCCTGTCCAAAAATTTCTCCTCAGCCTAAGCGATTTTTGTTTAATTATCTTAATAAATTTTTGATAACCCATGAAAATGCAATCTCAATACTTAACACATTAAATTTGAACAATGAGAGACTCTCAAGTCATAATACATAAACAACAATATGCATGATACTTATAAAACCAATTTTGACATCATTTTGACCAGCTGGTAACCTTGATGGAAGCATATCCTTAATTTTAGATGACATTTATCTATAAGCCAAATTAAATTATAGGTAAATGCTTCAAAAATCCAAAAAATTCAACAAGAAGAAAAATTTGTTGAATTCAAATAAAACAGCTGTTTACAGATTGGACAGAGAGACAAACAAAGACACACACACAAGATAACTTGCTTGCAAAACTGAAGTGCACTTAAATATATGTTTGGCCAAATTGAATTATACTAATTTTTACAATTTTTAAACTTTGCAATTATAAAAAGACTAGTCAGAACTTTTTTATAAATTAGTAGAGATCTCTTATAAGAATTTGAACAACACTTCAAGATTTTTTATCATCTCAATTTCAAAAGGCACATGCAAAATAATTTCCTCATTACGATCATTTTGCTGAGTTCTAACTAGGAAGCAAGTGGGGATGCCGATGATTTCTCCTTTTGTGGCTGCTTGTTCCTTTAAAATCTGTGAGTTCCTAGATAGAGCTGTATAGGATTTTCTTTTGAAAGACGCCTGCTCCAACCTAAGGGTCTCTGCTGGGAGCTCTTTTGTTTCCTCTGTCTAAGTCAGAGGCTAATGACTGTAAACTCTGCAATGGACTTAGAACTGAATGAACTGTGTTCCAAGTTGAGAAGGCCTCAGGGGAAATGACTTTTCCTGTTCTGTGTGCCTTTTAAAGATTTTTCCAACTCTTTCCCAATCATCATCCTGCCTGCCAGAGGAAACCATGAATTATACTTGGTTATCTCTTGTAACATTTTTGTTACATCTTTTTTAGCACATGAGCCCCTGAGCATTTAAGGAAACCTTGGGGCTGTTTTATGTATTTTTGCTCTTTGGTTGAAAATTTTTGGCCCATTTCAGTCCTGGATAAAAACAGCTTGTTCACAGCAGGAAGACTAACCCCTATTCCTTGTGGAATGCTTCTCTTCCTCCTTTCTCCAGGCATCCCTAGTGAAGTTTTCACCCTGTGAAGGGGTTCTCCACCTCCCACTTTCCACTCTAGGTAGATTTACTCGTTCAGGCTAAAAATTTCCAGTCCAAGGACTATATGTCCCTGTTCAGATGCCAGTTATCAGGTTAATAATATCCCTTAGTTACTGTGGGCTGATCAGGTCTGCAATCTCCCTAATGAATGTATGGCAAAGGATAAATAAAAAGAGGCAAATGCAATGATTTCAGGGCTCCAGGAGGATGAAAGCCCTCTCAGAGAATTTGAGATTCTCTTGGGGCTAAGACCAAGACCTTCTCTGGGTGGCCTGTACTTATTTGGTTATCAGAAGAGAAGGAAGGACTCAAGAAGCATGGAATTACTCAAGGACTTCTCTAAGTAAGGTATTAAATTAATCCTTAATAAGGATTAGGTTAACCCACCCAGGAGTGAGAAGCCTGAGGCTATAGTCTTTATCTAGTTGAGATCAGATCCAGGCGTCCTTGGCTGTGATCTTGTCTTACCTTTGAGGCTTTCTGGCTTTATCCACCATTACAGGTTTTAGTAGGGATTAGTGACTCTCAGAGGTTCTCTTACTATGAATCTACTGCCCATCTCCAGACAAGGAGCCTAGGCCTTGGACAGACTCACAAGTAAACATGAAAAGCCAATTGATTAATTTAAATCCTGCTGAGGGCTGCTTCGTAGTGGTCTCCATCAGAAGAGGACAAACAGAAAGGTGTTAAGTCCAGTAATGTATTCCTTTGTGGATGGCTGAGCTCAGCTCTTGGTGCAGTATGCACTCAATCCTCTCTTCCTCAATGGCATAAAATACTAATACTAAGTAAAAGGGACACCAGTTGTAGGACTTACAAAAGGCTTGAGAGCCAGTTCATATTACAGAAGAACTATCTGTGAATAGCACCGATTTGTCTATTCAAAGGGTGTCTGCTACAGGTATGGAGGAGGTGGGGGAGTGCAAGTGAGGGCAGAACAGGGAGACTAGGTGAGGGTAAGGGCTACCTGGGTTTAGGGAGCAGGCAGCTAAGGTTTCAAGTGGGGAAAGCATTCACCATCCTGCAAATCTCTCTCAAGCAGAGACTTAATAAATCCATAAGAGAAGAGAAGACAACTTCTCTGAGCTAATGAAGAGAGGTCACATCAAGATCTGGGCAAGGTATAGGAGGACGGAGGGAGGGATAGAGTCTAAATGTAAACTGTGCACGTAACTCTGGAGCTCTACCCAGAATCTCTCCAACACTGCCACAAAGAGAGCTATAGACCCTTTGCTTTGTTCTTCTTTTTGTACGTCACATAAAGCATACTGCTTCACATCATATCTATTCTGTCCACCAAGATGTTTCTTGTCACACTCTTCCTCTTTAATCATTTATATGCCCTTAGATTTTAAGGTAAAGCTCCTGAAGCCTGCCTGATCTAAAGCACATTAAGAAGTTCCCATAATCTTCCAATCTAGTCACAATTTTCTTAAGACTGTACCCCAAAGAAGGAACTGAGGTTATGGGTGACCGTGACAGCTACAGCTTCAGGAGAGGATACTGGAGGGGGGAGGTGAAAGGACCTTGCTGGAATATGCTGTCACTTGTTCAGAAAGGCTGATTATTTGTGACTCCAGAGCCAGAATCTTCTCCCATGGGGGGCAACAGTCTCTGATGAGTCTGGGCATCAGGAACGACTGTGACCTCTGCAGGCCCATCAACTGCAACTGGACAGATGGTCAGGGGTTTCTTATCACAAGACCACAAGCAGAATATAGGACGAAGGGGGCCAGAGAAAGAGACCTTAGTGAATGAGTAGATATGGGATCCGTCATTCACGCTGTAGAAGGAGACAGCTCCTGATTCATAGTCCACGAAAATCCCAATCTGATGAGGTGCTTCTGGCAATGAAAGAAGAACTCGGAGCGGGGCAAGGGCCCAGTACCCCTTCTCAGATAATTCCACAACCCAAAAGCCATTCTTGGGAGACATGAGGATGAACCCTTTCTTCATCACATCCTCCCTGCACACCCCAAGCAACCAATCAGTCCTGTCTCCCACCTCTACCTCCCAGTAGTATCTTCCTGAGGTAAAGGGCTTCTTGCCTAACACACAGGGCCAGGAGTCAAATCTATCTGGATTTTCAGATAGTTTCTGACGAGAATCTTCCAGTCGCACAGATTTTGAATCCTCAGACAGAATCAGGTGGGGGTGGGCTGTGCCTGGATCCAGGGTCACGTCAACTGGGAACAAGAGAGAGTAACCATCAGTGAACATTGAAGGCTACAGGATCTATCTTTTCTTCTGCATGAAGCAGCATTCTAGTAGTGGGCAGGGCCCCTTGGAGAACTGCCTGCCCTCTGCTCCTTCCAGGGCCCTGGGCATCAGCACCCTAGGGGACAAAACAGCTGACCGTTTCTGGAGTCTGAGTGCCTAATGTGACCCTCCAAAGGCCTACCCTGTGTCACCAAGGAACACTAAGCTTCCAACACAGTTTAAAATCGTGGGATCAGGTGTGGTGGCACATGCCTGTCACCCCAGATTCTCAAATAATGGGTTGACGCTGAGGCTGAGGCTGAGGCAGGATTGCTGTGAGTTCAAGGCCAGCCTGAATTACATAGTGAGACCCTGTCTCAAACACCAAAAAAACCTCAAACATCCTCCAACACATGAAAAAAAAAAAAAAAAAAAAGCCAACAACAAAAAAAAACCCCACAAAAGCAAAAAACCTCTGTCTCATCACTATAAGTATATTAGTATTTTTCGTGACCACTTATTCTAGGTCTTTGGATTCTTTCTTTTATTTGCAGTACTGGGGAGAACCTAGAGACTGCACAGAGCTAATTCCCAGTTTGCTTTTTATTTATTTATATTTTGAGATAGGGTCTCACCAAGTTACTAAGTTGCCCAGGAGGAGCTCCAACTTACAATGCTCCTGGCCTCAACCTAGCAGAGTGCTGGTATCATCAGCATGCACCATGCCTGACTGGCCTTAAACTCACATGTAGTTGGATCTCAGAGCCCAGAGAAGTGCTAAGTAAACTGACCTGCATGTGATCGAGCCAATTTCCATTCTGAAAGGAAACAGAAACACGAGTCACGGCCAGGTTAGAGAAAGTATTCTGTGTATTTAATAGCACAAGACAAAGTGAAACCAATCAAATTTCCAGGCATCTCTCTGTAAAATGAAAGTTATCTCTAAAGGCCCCTGAGGCTGGGGTATAAGAGGGAGGAAAACAGGAGCAGGCAAGACAGAGCAAAGGACTGTTACCATCTGCATGACTGCGGAGACACTGGCAGTCAGTCAAGAGAACAGAAAGTGTGGTTTGGTTTTGTTCCTGCACAAGGCACGTGGACTCTGCTGGAGGGCTGGGGAGAGCTTTAGAGCTTGTTTTTTTTTTTCTGGTACCGGGAATCGAACTCACGACCTTGTGCTTGCCAGGCAGGCACTGTGCCACTGAGCTAAATCTGGGGAGAGCTTTAGATACCAGGAGACCTATGGGTGAGTGAAGAGAACATGAACCCAGCACCTGCTTCCTCAGCCCAGATTCAGGTGTTATGAGGTGAACACATTTCTTCTTCCTATTCTGCTTACACACCACACTTGCCTGGTAGCTCCCCCACCCCTCACTTCCAGCTGTGTCCCCAAGGAGTGGGAACTGGTGACATGATGTTACTGGTTCTCATGGTTCCAACTCTGTAAGAAAACCCTAATTTCTCTTCAACCTCTGCTATTTCATGTGTTCATGCTCCCTTTCAATTTCCAAGATTCTGAAATAATAGGTTGAAGAAGACTATAACCTGTTGGACAACTAATTCAACCACCCATTGCTAATTAATTCTTTATTCGATACAAATACCCAAGAAAAGTAATCTATGTGCTATGACTTACCTATGGGACTAGTTTCATTCTTTGTCTTTTTCTTTACATATTTTCTATATAGTTGCCAAGTGACAAATACTCCAGTAAGTCCCATCAATACTGCAACCATCAAGGAACTCCAAATTGCATCAGAGGGAGCTGAAACAAAACCCCAAGGAAATGTGTTTATTAAGGTCTATAGACAACTCTAGCTTCTCCTGGGCTCCTGTATACATCCCATCTTGCTCTAACCAATAATCAAGCCTTCCTTTGTCAGTGACAGTGGCTGTTCCACCCCAACACTTTCAGAAATGTTTTGATTTCCACTGGGAGAAAAAAAATAAGAAATGACGAGTCATGCATGCCTGTAATCCTAGCACTTGGAAGACTGAGGCAGGAGGATCATCGCAAGTTTGAGACTAGCCTGGGCTATAAAGTGAGCTCACGGCCAGCTTGAACTGCATAGTGAGAGCTTGTCTCAAAAAGATTAAAAAAAAAAAATCAATCTCCCCATTCCCAAAAGTTGAAGAGACATGCTTGAGAATCACTATTCCCTAGACAGAATGCCCAGAGTTTCCTCTGGAAATGTGAAACCTTGTCTAATGAAAAAAAAAAAAAAGTTTTTGGGATGGACTAAAATATAGGCCAATATATCCATCCAGAGGTTAAGGAAACACAGTCACAAGGAATTTTTAATGAGATACTAAGTTCAGTCTGGAGCCACTCTGAAGATGACATAGTCTTTTTTGGCTAAAGTCCCTACCTGTCAAATCTAGGAGAACTTCTCTGAAGTGGAGGTTACTGTCTCATTTACTCATTCATTCATTCAGCACACACATTTACTGACTGTACATTACATGGCAGACACTGTTTGAGACCCAGGATGCATAGTAATAAATAAAACCCAGAAATACCTGTTTTCACGGTGTTTACATTATAATTCTCCAAGCTTATTCCGCACTCTTTTATTAGCCTTTATTAGACATCAACTTTTCTTTTTTTTTTTTGGTTTTGGTTTTTCTCTGGTACCGGGAACCGAACTCACGACCTTGCGCTTGCCAGGCAGGCGCTTTGCCGCTGAGCTAAATCCCCAGCCCCTAGACATCAACTTTTCAAACATCAACTTTTGGAGATAAAAGTAAAGAAGCTTAGAGGCATGTAGTAACAAAACTGGAACTAAACAGTGTCCCAGTCATACACCAGGTACTGGGGAACTGCAGGTTAGAACGAGAGCAGAGTAAACTGGTCTGGGGCCAGTCATAAGGAGGATATTGAGGGAAATCCTAGAAGTTATCCCATTGGTTCAGGAGTTCTCACATAAAGGGAAAGGCATGAAACTAGGGACCAGCTTCTGCTAGAACTAGGAGCTGGACCTGAGCACCTAAGGGAAAGATCCCTTCTCTCATCATCATATTATTTCCAGAGCTAAACCTTTTCCATCTGCCTGCGCCCTTCCCTAGGCAGCCCCAGCAGCAGCGCATTCCTTCCCTGCCATCACAGGTGCTGGGGTGCTTTGCAGTCAAGGCACACAGCCAGCTGCGGAGTATTCACGGTTCAGGGCGTTATGGTTGGGATCTTAAATGGTCCCCCAAAGCTAATGTGTGGAAGAATTGTTTCCCTGCTGATGGAGATGTGGAAGTGGGGCCTGGTGGGATGAAGGAGGTCCTTTGAGTGTGCCCTGAAGGGAGCACTGGGCCCTGGCCCCTGGCCCCTTCCTTGCTGCCCTCTCTCCCTGCTTCCCAGCCTCCATGGAGTGAGCGGCCTGGCCCAGCACCTGCTCCCAGTGATTGCTGAGTGTGAAATGTAGCAGTGTGGAGCTCTTAACCTGAGCTGCATGGTTCGATGGGCCACTTCAGGTCCAGAGCTTGTTGGAATGGCAGAGGCTTTGCTGTAATTGCATTTCGTCAGTTCCTCCCTGTCTAGCCTCCTTCATTGACTTCCCCATGGTGTCACCACTGTTCCTAATAAATGCCCCATAGTGTTGCTTCTCTGGGACCTTCTGAGACCAGAATTCTCAAGTGTTTCATTCAAGAATGGTGGTGTATGCCTATAATGCCAGCTATTCCAGAGGCTGAGGCAGGAGGATTATGAGTTTCAGGCCAGCCTGGGCAACTTAGTGAGGTCCTCTGTCAAAAAGGGCTGGTGACATAGCTCAGTGGTGTGGTGGGGCGCACCAGGGTTTGCTCCCCAATACCACAAAAAGTGTTTCAAGGCCAACATGCTTTGAGGAGCTCCATGAGGTCAAAGTCTTTACAATGGCTTGCTGTGATGGCATATACCTGTAATTTTGGGATTTGCGAGGCTGAGACAAGACTGCTGTGAGTGTGAGGCTAGCTTCAGTTAGTAAGCTCAAGGCCAGCAAAACCCTGTCAAAAACAGTCCATAATGCTATGGAATGCTATTTACCTTTCTCCACACCCTCACCCCCACCCTATACTGGGAATTGGACCCAGAGCCTTTGTACTGAGCTATACCTCCAGTCCTTTGTACTGAGCTATACCTCCAGTCCTTTGTGAGATGAATTCTAGCTAAACTGCCCAGGCTGGGCTTGAACTTTTCATCCTCCGGCCTCAACCTCCCAATGCTGAGATAATAGGCATGGGCCACCATACCCAGCTAAAAAGATACGTTTGCAACACACTGTTTTCACCTACTTCGCTCTTTAGCTAAGAACTAAGATATGTGGCAGCCGTATCTTTCCTAAGATGATCCTGCCAGTCTGTGGTTACAAACTAATGAATTACTAAAGCAATAGCCTGATGACTAGAGTTCAAGGCCAGCCTAAACTATCTATAGCAAGATCTTGTCTCAAAACGAAACAAAAGCAAAACAAGCAAATCTATCATTTTAAAGCAAAACATGGTAGAGCAGCCTGTAAACCTAGCATCTGAGAACTCACAAATTTAAACCCTGCCTGAACAACTTAGCAAGACCCTATCTCAAAAGAGAGTTGGGGATGTAGCTCTGTGAAGGTCCTTAGTCTTGCAAAGAAGGGAGGAAAATCTATCACTCTAATGTGACACTCTAAGTGTCATAGGTAACACTTTGAGCTTGGTGCTCGAGTTGCACTGGGTGTTGTGTATGTAGGGTGAGGGAACCAAGACATATTGCTGTGCTTGAAGAGAACCACAGGAAGGGAAAGGAAATCAACAAATGGAGGAGCCAGGTATGATTGTGCATGTCTGTAATCACAGCACTCAGAAGGCTGAGGCAGGAAGATCACCGTAAGTGTGAGGCCAGCCTGGGTGACACAGTGAGTTCAAGGTCACTCTGCACTACAGGGCCCTGTCTCAAAAAAAAAGAAAGAAAGAAAACAAAAAGCACAACAGTGTCAGAAGGAGAAGAATTCAACCCTGTCCTCACTGTAGTCTAAGAAAGTCAAATCTTCACAGTACTCTTATTTCTTCATATGTATAAGGTAGGACTTAAACCTATATATTTTTAAAATTTGATTTTTGTGGCTTTAAAAGTAAAGTTTAAACATGCTCCTATTCACTCTTAGAGATTTCTCATGATAGCCCTATGAGAAGGATGTTTCACTTGGTAAAACTGAGGTCTAGCAAGTTTAACTATTTTTATAAGTATTTCCAGATAAAATGGAAAAGTTTTCTGTCATTGTGGTTGAACTAGTCTGGGCTCAGCTGGGCATTCTGCCTTCAGCAGCTCAGTTCCTGAATTGCTAAGGCAGTTCTCCTCTCCTTTTTAGCAGTTCTCCTCTCCTGTTTTGGGTCCGTTTGGTCCGCACACCAAATTCTCCAAGCCTATTACTCTCCCTTTTATTACCCTTTGTAAGATAGGAGATTACTATGCAAATGCATATGCTGGGACATGAAATCATTCTTATGTAAAATTCTTTATACATTACTTGACTTGTCTTGTTTATCCTATTCTAACTATCCTAACTGGCTTGTCCCTTTAGAACATTCATAGTATGGGGGAAATTAATATGACATTTTCCTGTATATCATCACACTTAATCCTCAGTAATTTTTGTAAGGTCAAAATTTTTCTTAGTATTTGTATGTACTAAAAAGTGAGGCTTTGCTGGGTGTGGTGGTGCACACCTGTATTCCCAGCAGTTGGGAGGCTGAGGCAGGTGGATCACTGTGAGTTCAAGGTCAGCCTGAATTATAAAATGAGACCCTGTCTTGTGGAGAAGGACATTCTATAGTTCACCTTTTAATGTATTACCTATGTGAGACTTTGAGCCTGACCAAGCCATATGATTGTTTGATTCTGGAGAAAGTGTAGCAAAAGCATTAGTGTAAGAAGGAAATGCAAGAAGGACCTTAGTCCCTGTGGAAAGCCGCTGGGATAACACTAGATGCTTTGCTGAGATATGTCTGAAGGAATGATAACATGATGGCTAGCTAAGTCAAAGTTCAGTTCCTATGATAATTAAGCCCTCATTAATCCTGTTAATGGTTCCTCCCATTTCCCCTGTTCCTGCTTTTTGTGAGACTCCCAATAAAAGGCTAAAGAAAATTGTAACTGAGGCTTCAGCCCTAGAGGCTGTAACCCCCTGATCCTGTAACTTTGTTTGTCTTGTTTTTCTTTTTATCTGCTGCACCATGTTCTCGGGACCTGTTACCCCATACAGAAACCAACATATAACCAAGACTGTCTCAAAAAAACAAAAAGAAAAGAAAATGAGACTTAACAATTCTGAAATTCATTTGGAACCAGAAGAGACCTAGAATAGCAAAAGCAATTTGGGGCAACTAAAGGCAAGGCAGGGGGCTTCATAATGCCTGACTTGAAATTATACTACAAAGATACTGTGATAAAGCCAGTGTGGGGCTGGGGATTTAGCTCAGCGGCAAAAAGCGCCTGCCTGGCAAGCGCAAGGTCGTGAGTTCGGTTCCCGGTACCGGAGAAAAACCAAAAAAAATAAAAAAATAAAGCCAGTGTGATGGCACACCCCTATAATCCCAGCACTCAGGAAGCTGAGGCAGGAGGATTGTTGTGAGTTGAGACCAGCCTGGGCTACAAAGTGAGCCCAAGGCCAGCCTGAACTGCATAGTGAGACCCTGTCTCAAAAAGACAAAAAAACAAAAAACAAACAAACAAACAAAACCCCAAAGATACTGTGATAAAAACAGTATGGTACTGAAAAAAAACAAAACAAAACAAAGCAAAACAGACCACAGGATCAATGAAACAGAACAGAAAATGCAGAAACAACTTCAAACACACTCAGCCACCCTACCTTTGACAAAGGAGCCAAATATTTTCACTGGAAGAAAGATAGCCTCTTAATAAATGGTGCTGGAAAAACTGGCTCTCCACATGCCAAAGGTTAAAACTAGACCTATATTTTTCACCATGCCCTAAACTAAAATTGAAATGGATCAAAGATCTAAATATTAGAATGGAAACACTAAATCTGCTGGAAGAGAGAACAGGTAGAACTCTTGAAGACACTGATGCAGGCAAAGACTTTATGAACAAAACCCTGATCTCACAGGAAATATTACAAAGAATCAACAACTGGGATCTCATTTTATCAAAAAGCTTTTGCACAGCAAGAGAAACCACCAACAGAGTGATGAGACAAGCCAAAAAGTGGGAAAAAACGTTTGCCAGACAAAGGACTAATATCTCGCATATACAAAGAATTTTTTAAAAAATCAGACCTTCCAAATTTAAAGACCCAATATAAAAATGGGCACTGAAATGAAGAGACACTTCTCAGATGAAGTAGAAATGGCAAGTGAATATATGAAAAAATATTCAACATCACTGGGCATTTGAGAGATGCAAATTAAAACACACTATGATTCCATCTCACTTTTGAAAGAATGGATAGTATCAAAAAACCAATCAATAGCCAAAGCTGGCAGGGCTGTGGGGTAAAAGCAACCCTACTTCACTGTTGGTGGGAGTGTAGACTGATGGAACCACTGTGGAAATCAATGTGGAGATTCCTCAAAAAATTAAAACTAGAGGTTCCATTTGATGCAGGTATTCCGCTTTTGGGTACTTTCCCCGAAGAATAAAAAGCATCATACCACAGCGATATATGTGTACACATGTTTATAGTGGCACAGTTTGTAATAGCTAAGTCTTGGAAAGAGCCCAAAAGCCCTGTTTTTAGTTCAAAGTAATACTAGCAAAGAGCTCGGGATGTAGCTCCATGGTAGGGCACACCTTGGTATTTACAGGGTACTAGGCTTAATCTCCTAACACTGTTTTTTAAAGGCTATCTTCATAAAATAAATGAAGAAATGTTCATTTCTATTTTTGTTTCATAGACTTTTGTCAAATTGGTGTTAATTTTCTTTGAAGCATTTGATAGCATTCTTCAATAAAATGATCCGGCACAAAGATGCCTATTTTGCTAATTTTAAAATTAAGAACTCCATTTCCTTAACAATTATAGGGCTGTTCAAATTGTTTCATATTTAGTGAGTTGCAGTGATTTGTGTTTTCCAGGGATTGGTACATTTCACCAAAGAGGTACAATTTATGTGTTCAAATTGTTTATAGTATTCTTTTTCTTATCCTTTAGTGTCTGAAGGTTCTGGAGTGATATCTGAATATACAACTATTGACTTCATTACTATTTCTATTTTTAATTTCATTGATTTCTGCTCTGTAGCCCATGCTGCCCTCAAACTTGTAGCGACCCTCCTGCCTCAGCCTCCTGAATGCTGGAATTACAGGCATGTACCACCATGCCTGGCTCTTTCTTCCTTCTTGTCTGTTGGTTTGTTTTTGTTTTTCTTCTGGTACCAGGAATCAAACTCTTGACCTTGCGCTTACCAGGCAGGTGCTTTGCCACTGAGCTAAATCCTCAGCCCCTTTCTTCCTTCTTGATATGGGTTTATTTTACTCTCTAGGTTCTTGAGTGGAGCTTAGATTATTAGTTTGCCTTCTCCTCTTTCTTTTCTTTTTTTTTTTTCTTTGTTTTTTTTCCAGTACCAGGAATTGAACTCATGACCTTGCGCTTGCCAGGCAGGCACTGTGCCGCTGAGCTAAATCTCCAGCCCCACCTTTTCCTCTTTTAGCACTATAAATTTCTGTTTGGGCACGCATTAGCTGTGTCAAGAGCTAAACAGAGCTGCAGGAGACTGTGCTGCCATCTATCAAGAATTGCCAGTTACAGTCACAAGCAAAAGGAAGGTGCTAGTCCAGCCTCCATTCATATGGGGCAGTAGAAGCAAAAGTCTGGGTCAGAGAAAGAGCTGATGCCCCGCTACTCCTGCATGGTGATAACCAGTTAAAAAAAAAAAAAAAAATTTCATAGAAAACAGGAGTGGAATTTCCTCAATGTGTGTAACCCTACAGCTAATGTGAGTTTTTATTCAGACAAGGTTTCACTATGTAGCTTGGGCTGGCCTCAGATATGCAATGATTCTCCTGCTTCAGCTTCCTTTAATGCTGTGATTATAGGCATGTGCCACCATGCCCAAGACATCTAAGATGATTCTTAATGACAACACATTGAGAATAAAGCTGGTACGTGCACTCTCCGTACTATTACTAACATAATGCAAACGATTCTAGCTAGGGCCATGAACATCTATGAATGTTCGTAATGTGAGTTCCATTTGTATCTGTGAAAGTTCAAAACTTCAATGTTTGTAAGTTGGGGACTTACTGTATTATTTCTGGAATGACAAAAAAGTATGTGTATGTTTGGTACAGATGTAAATGTGTTTCCTCAAGCTTTTTACCAATAATTTCTTCAGTCTACAGAAATGGAACTTACAAAGGCTTTCTATTTCCTAAGCATTATAAAAAAGCAGGAATTTCTCTAAGATCTATATAGAGCTTATACCTTCAAAATCCTCACGCATCTGGTAACATTTTTAGGGGCTCCCTCAAGCCAGCAAGCAAGAGATGTTGCAGAGCTGAGGGAAGAGTACACAACTCTGCCATGAAGTCACATCTGAGCAAGTGTCCGGAATACTGTGGTCCTGTAGCTGCGTCAGCACGGGAGGCAGCCCTGTCCCACTAACCTGATGTGGAAATCCCTACTTCCTTCTGCTGACCAAGGAGCAGGTTGCGGATGCAGCAGGACACAGTCTCCAGAGAGGTGTCTCTGATGATCATGGAAGTGGCCACGGTGAAAAGACCCTCTTGGTCAGGACTCCTGGACTCTGATGTGGACAGAAACTTCTCCCCTGCAGGCGTTCTCCACTGTACCTGGGGTTCTGGGTACCACCCCACAGAGGTGCACTCCAGCCGGATCTCTCCACTGTCCTGAACTTCCACACTGATGTGAGGGTCAGAGCCCAGTGCTGTGGAGAGAGAAGGTGGCCTTAATTTTTTAGTGGTTAACCTTCTGGACGCCCTTATAACCACAGAATTACAGCATTTCTAGAATCACTGTAACCAGGAATAGGAACAGAGAGATCTCAATTCCTCATTTCAAAGGGAACTGAGGGGGGCTGGGGATTTAGCTCAGTGGCAAAGCGCCTGCCTGGCAAGCGCAAGGTCGTGAGTTCGGTTCCCGGTACCAGAGAAAAACCGAAAAACCAAAAAAAAAAAAAAAAAAAAAAAAAAAAAAAAAAAAAAGGGAACTGAGGTAACAATGAAACATTTCACACACCTCATCAGAAATATGCCATGTGGGGATCAGGAGCAAGTTCACCCCTAAAGAATAGATGGGCATTTGCGGTGGCCTTTGAAATGCAGAAAAGAACTGAATGGGCAGACATGAGAAGTGGTCTTTCCTGCGGAAGAACAGCAAGTTTAATGCCTTCCACCGGGGTAGGAGGCTTAGGCTGGGAGCTGTAGCAGTGGGAATGGAGTCTTTATTGTTGGAAATAAGGGCAGAGGAGAACAGGCAGAACACGTGCTGTATTATGGGATAGGCAAGAACTGGAGAAAGGAAAATTGTTTCCTGGGCCTTTCTCTGGATGACTACAGGGGAAGATACAGACTCACAGAAGACTCAACATTCTTTTGCTGTGTATTTTTCAGTGATTCCCTTAAACGGTTTCTACTTCAGATTCCTCATACATTTAAGTTACTACTTTTGAGACTTTATTTTTCTGCTTGCTTCTTTTTTGATAACTACAGGGTACAGAAAACACCTGGGCAAATATATATATATAGATCTTTTGCAAGTGGAAAGGAGACCAAGAAATGCAAGGAGGGAAGGGGAAGGAAAAAGAATGAAGAGGTATTATGTGCATGTACCAACTCCCCATGATGAATGTACATGCTACAGACATGTACTAAGAAAGAAAAAAAAGTAGCTGGGCGTGGTGGTAAACATTTGGGAGGCTGAGGCAGGAGGACTGTCTTCAGTTAAGAGGCCAGTGTGGGCTCCATAGTGAATTCAAGGCCAGCCTGAATTACAGAGCGAGATCCTGTCTGAAACAAAACAAAACAAAACATCTACTAAAAAAGTGTATACATGTATCTATATGAATGTATATTTGTGTCAAGAGGTTAACAGATTTTATTATGTTTAAAATTGGGTCTGTAATTTATAGAAGAGCCACAAGTTTATCTTGTCAAGTTTCTAAGTTCTTAGAAGCAATTTTCAAGATCATTCTTTCTCTCTATACATAAAAGCACAGGAACTAACATAAGCTGCCCTGCAGAGGTTCCACTGTCATGGAGCTGAGATACAGATTTCACTAAGATACTTTTATTTATTTATTTATTTTTGGTTTTTTTTCGGTATCAGGAATTGAACTTACGAGCTTGCGCTTGCCAGGCAGGTGCTGTGCCACTGAGCTAAATCCCCAGCCCCTCACCAAGATACTTTTAATATATGAATAGCTAAAAATAACTAATATTAAAAGGCACTGCAGTATTTATACATTAAGTTTTTGGGGTTTTTCTGGTATTGGGAATTGAACTCAGGACTTTGTGTTTGCTAGGCAGGCGCTGTGCCGCTGAGCTATATCCCCAGCTGTATATTAAATTTTTGGATAATTTCTAACCACAATGGTAATGCCTCACCATACTCTCATGCTTGTGAGGTTTATAAACCACTTTCATATATCCCTTCATTGACCCCAAGAAGCAAAAACCCATCTACTCACCAGCCACTCTCAACTGCAAGAAGGCCTCTCTGTGGGCCTGGTCATCTTTGAAGGAGCACCCATACACCCCTTCATCAAAGGCCCTGATGCCATGTATCCTCAGCGCTGCATGCCCCGCAGTGATGTTGTCTGTGACTAGTGTCACCCTCCCCTGGTACTCAGGCATCTGCTCTCCCTCCTGCTCTTGCCCATCCTGGTACACCAACACAGCCGGTGAGAATGTGTTCCGGAACCACCGGAGTTCCATGTGCTCAGCACTCACACTTGGTGAAAGATAACAGGGCAGCTCAGAGTCTTCACCCACTAAGGCCAGGATAGGTTCCAGAGGTCCAAGGACTTCAAAGGGAGCTGCGCCAAAAAAACAAAACAAAGAGCAGAATCCGGGTGAGGTGACGGAGTTGCAGATGGACAGGAATTAGGCCTAGCCAAAAAGCCGACATGCTCTTGCTGTTTCTCACTTCAGGGTATCCACCTGGGCCGCACTGGATTCCTGCACTCCCTGGGAAGAACTTGTGTGACGGCTGGTATTTGCAGACGCATTTCAACCCAGCGGGCTGGAGCAGAGAATGAGCTGGGGAAGAAGGGGGACTTACCCGCATCCAGTGTGGGCAGCCGCAGGAGCATAAGGGTGAGGAGACACCCAGGGAGGGAGTTTGGGAAAACCGCCATCCACATCCTTTCTGCAACAGGACACTGACATGAGTCCACTAGGAACTTCAGCCTAGAGATGAACGGTCAGGAGGTAACTATGGGCTCAGGAGCCCCTTCCTTTTCCACAGGCCTCCAGCAGCTCTTTCCAACAGAGGGCCCTGGTGATCTGCCTCTGAAGCCCATCTCTAGTGCCTCCTTTGCATAAACGTATATGTTCTCCCGGAATCCCTTCACTAAAACGGCAGTTGCCCCCTAGTTACAATAATTGGCGCACACCTGTAATCCCAGCACTGGGGAGGCTGAGGCAGGAGGATAACTGCGAGTTCGAGCCCAGCCTGCGCTAACGAGACGCTGTCTCAGAAAACAACAAAAACAGAAACAAATCAGCATTTGCTGTCAAGGTGATATTTAAGGTGTGAGTTGCAAAGCTAGTGACAAAAGAAATGAACCAGGGAAAGATAAAAAGATGGGTAGTGACTAGGTCAGAAGGGCAACTTGTGGCAGGGGCCTGGTTTATCACACTGGGGCACTCAAAGTTGCTTGGATGAGGGACTCCACACAGTATGGGGAACTATGGCACTTGGAAAATATGGAGTCTAAATAACAACATACATATAAAACCTTAAGGCATTACTTCCTCCTTACGGGGGATTGAACCCACAGCCTTCACACTGAGCTACATCCCCAGACTCCCCCGCCTCTATTTCTCAGACAGAGTCTAACGAAGCTGCCCAGTCTGGGCTGCACTTTGAGATTCTCTTACGTTTCCCTCCCAGAGTGCTGGGATTACAGGCCTGCGCCCCCACCCCCAGTCTACAGCATTTTAGGCTGTTTGTTTGTTTGTTTTTGGAGACAGGGTCTCACAGTGTAGTTCCGTCTGGCCTTGAGTTCACTATGTAGTCCTGGCTGGCCCCGAATTTGTGGCGATGCTCCTGCCTCAGCCTCCCAAGTTCCGGGATTAAAGACGCCCGCCACCACTCCTGCCTTAAAACCTTTTTGGTTATAATCGAAAGGAGACCAGAAGATTTTCTGAGTCGTATTTTTGTTTCTTTCAGATCCTAGTCCCTAAGCGCATGCAGCCGGCAGGCTTCACCTGTCATACTGTCCTCCTCCCTCCAGATCCCACAGAGCGTGCCCTCTTCCTCTGCACCCCGGCCCGGCACCCCAAGCCCACCGCTCAGCTTCGCAGCCCGGTCTTCCAGCCCCACAGCCCTGCTTTGCAACAGTGCTCTCCACGTACGCCTTGGGACTCCATTGGTAAGTCACGGACCACAGAAGGAAGGTAAGCGACAGTTCCCCATCTTTAAAGTACGTTATTAAGTTACATTTAGTAACGTAAGCAAAGTAGCACCGGAAACTAGATAGCCTGCTATCCAGGTTAAAAACTGACAGTAACACACGTGATCCAGGACCCGGATTTGCGCGCGTGAGGGCGGGGTCACAACCTACAAGGCTGCCTGTGATTGGCTGGAACTCGGCAACTGTGAGGCTCACGCGAAATGTGGTTGCAGTTCCTTGTGTGAGGAGCAATCGACTACGGAGGCATCCTCAGGCCAAATTTACTTTGGAGCATGTGTCGGACGCTTACTGTGAGAAAGTGTAAGGGAATTTTCTTTGGACAAATTAATTTTTTGATTGCCTCAAAAGTGGTGATGTATTTTATCAGTTGCTAGACGGTAAAACCCTGGGAAAAGTGAAAACTGAACCTTCATTGAATTATACCCATTAAAGAAAAATTCCCCCCTCCTCCCAGTATGTTTGCTTACATATTTGAATCATTAATATATGTGTATAATCAGTATTTCCAGAAATTCAACTGTTTTATGTCTTATACTAGAAGCATCTGCTGAACTGAGTAGAAAAAAGTTTTTAATGGGTGGAGAGGAAGATTTGTATTATGTGTATCAGTTTAATTAACATTACACGGTGGCAGTTTGCTAGAATCTGCTTTTAAGTAAATAGATGCAGGAGGAGGTTATCACTTTTTACTGTACAGCCAATGAACGTATGAAAGGAATAGTGACAGACCAATTTCATCTCCTTCAGTATCCCCAAAATTCAAGTCTTAGATTCATTACCAAATTATGTTATTTTCTGCTTTCCAGAGGCAGTGCTTCCATTGTTTTTTTTGTATGTTCTGTATTTTTCATAAAATTCTCTTGGGTGGGATGAGTTCATTCATTCACCCTCCCTACTTTTTATTACATGATACTTTTTTTTTTCTGGTACTGGGGATTGAACCCAGAACTTTGACAATGAGCTATATTTCTAGCCTTTTTAAATTTTGAGTCAAAGTCTCACTAAATCTCTGAATTGTCCAGGCTGGGTTTGAATTTACAATGTTTTTGCCTCAGCCTCCTAGAGTGCTGAGATTACAGATGTGCACCACCACACCTGGCTACCATTTGTATACTGTTTAGGGTTTTAAAAAAAATTTTTTTTTTTTTTGAGACTGGGTCTCATTATGCAGTTTAGGCTATCCTTGCACTCACAGTGATCCTCCTGCTTCAGTGTCCCAAGTGCTGGGGTTACAGACATGTGCCACCATGCCCAGCTACATTGTGTATTTTTGTTCGTTTCTCACTCTGCCAGTATAGTATGCTCCATGTAATTTTTGTTTTGATAGGATCTTGCTATGTAGTTCAACCTGGCCTTGAGCTCACTGTGTAGCCCACGCTGGCCTCAAACTCATGGTGATTCTCCTACTTCAGGCCCCACCAAGTGCTGGGATTAAGTATAGTATGTTCTTATGTTAAACTTCAGGTAGACTGAATGGTATCTTTGTAAGGGGTCCTTGGGACAAATATTGGGACTTAGCAACTGCAACATTTTTGTTCACAAGCCAAAAATAAACCTGCCCTTTAGATCATATGTGGTCATAAAATAGACCCCTAATATAATTAAAGCTCATAAAACTTATCTGTAACCATGGCTGATGGAACTTGATTGTATTACAAGAGTTTGAATTTAAATTCTTGGTAGAGATGGCTGGTTGTCTTCAGGAAATTTACTTAACCACACCCAGAACTATACTAATCCAAGTAGGGGGCTTAAACAGTTAAAACACCCATGATTCAGTTACTCCCAAATGCCCCACTAGAAGTGTATGAGGCTTTGTAGAGGGGCATCGAGATACAGGCCATAACACCCACTTCATCCTCTATTTTTATCCTCGTTTTATTTATCTCTTGAGCACTTATCACCATCCAACACACACACACACACACACACACACACACACACATACCCTCATACATTTAACATTTTTATTCCGTTTCTGTCTCAAGGTAGACCTACCACAAGGTAGGTCTTTCTGAACAGGAACTTTCTGTTTTGTTCACTCTTCTGTGCCCTTAGCTTCTGCAACTCTGACCATTGCATCATGCTCAAGGGTCATGGTTGAATGAGTGGATAGACTGAATAGGTAAATCCTGAGGGAGGAAGTGGGGTTCCAAGATGTGGACAATTTGTGTTACACAGGACAAAAGACACCTGCTCCACTGAAATCAAAAGAAACCAGTCAGGAGGCGTGGGTGCAGCAGGTGGGAGTGGAAGTGCAGGACCTCTTCCATTTTCTGCTGGAGATGGTGCACTATGTTGCAGAAGACAGCATGACATGTTTTCTGCTACTTGAATGATTAACAGTGTCTAGCAGAGCATTGGGCTCCTGTCTAGTTTCAATAAACACTTAAAATATATCAATTATGTGTTGGGAAGACACCTTTAAGATGAGGTGTGATTTACTGAGCGAGAATATTACTTTCCTTGAACAAAAAGTATCGTTTTAACTTGCTAGACACCACTATATTACTGTTAAGTAGAGATTACATATATTTACTTTGAGAACTCAAAGATACAGCTTAAGTGGAACTATTCCGTAAACTATAAAAAGACATACAAACTCTTTTAAAACTTTATTTTAGGGCTAAGGATATAGCTCAGTGGTAGAACACTTGGCTAGCATGCACAAGGCCCTGGGTTTGATCACTGGCACCATTAAAAAACTTTACAGAGCACTTAAGGTCTATAAATTGCTTAAATTAATATAACCTATTATTAGCTGCATTTGAGTCCTTACAGTGTAATGCTTTTAGCTAAACATGTCCAAATAATAACAACAACAGTATGACATACTGAAATGGATTGACTGTCCATGTCCTACCAAATTTATGTGTTGTAAGTAATCTCCAATGTGGAGGTACTGGGAAGTGGGGCTTTGGGAGGTGGTCAAGTCATGAGGATGGATCCCACATGAATGGGAGGTGCCCTTATAAGAGAGATCTTAGAGAACTCCTTTACCCCTTCCATATGAGGACCCAGCAAAGACTATGGGCCAGGAAGTAAGCACCTAGTCTGTTGGCAACTTGACCTTGGGCCTTCCAACTCCCACAACTGTGAGATACAAATGCCTGTTGTTTAAGGGCCACCCAGTCTATGATAGTTTAGTTGGAGCAGCTTCAATGAACTAAAACATGTTCATATACAACCCAGTCTTTCATCTTAACAAACTGCTTTTTCATGAGCCGGGTGTGGTGGGGCATGCCTGTAATCCCAGCAAGGAGGGCTGAGGCAGGAGGATCGTTGTGAGTTCGAGACCAGCCTGGGCTACAAAGTGAGCTCGAGGCCAGCCTGAACTGCATAGTGAGACTCTGTCTCTCTTTTTTTTCTTTGGTTTTGGTTTTTTTTTTTCCTGTACTGGGAATTGAACTCACTACATTGCATTTGCCAGGCAGGCGCTGTGCCGCTGAGCTAAATCCCCAGCCCCCGAGACCCTGTCTCAAAAAGACAAAAACAAAACAAAACAAAACAACAACAAATTTGCTGTTTCAGTGATTCTTAGTACTTTCTATTGTTTTCTTTTTCCAATTTTTAAATGTGGTACTTTCTATTGTGTGTCCATTTGCAGCTGCAGTAATGAAGTTTTAGAATTAAAATTTTTTTCATCCCAGTTTTACAATTAGATTACTGAATTGTCCTAAATTGAAAGCACTAGCACTTAAGCCAGCATTTTAGATTCATAATTTAATTCTAGGATCATCTACCTTGGTTCTTAAAATATGGATTAAGGATTTGTGAGCATCTATGATAAGTTTCAAGGGTCTGAAATTGTAATACTTTTTCATAATAATATACTATCTGTGGTCCTTCATTCTTTCACTCCTGTACACTAGAGTCCTAGATGCTTTTTTGAGACAAGGACTCACTATGTAGTGCAGTCTGGCCTTTGAACTCACTATGGAGCCCTGGCTAATCTTGAACTCACAGTGATCCTCCTGCTTCAGCCTCCCAAGTGCTGGGATTACAGGCATGTTCCACCACACCTGGCTTCCTTTTGAATTCTTTGCTATCCCAACAGATTAAATGCAAAGGCAGATATAAGAAACTAGCTATCTTTTATTGAGCCAGGCATTAGATGTGTGAAAACTTAGATTCTTCCACACTTATGAAATCAATATTGCTTTGGAAACGAGTTACTTTTCCTAAGACATGCTGTTTATATTAACCTGTAGTTGGTTCATTCCTGTTTTTATATAAATACATTGAAAATTTTCTCAGTTTCAATCTCAAGTGCCGTAGGCGAGAACAGATATTCACACAAAAGAAAAAAAGCTATTTCAGGTCCTCAATAAAGCCATCTTGAGACCAAGAAGATTAACACTGCTGCAGTGCCACTAAATCTGAGCCCTGTGGTAGACTGGGTCCAATACTTACCTGCTCAGCCAGAACCTAAACTCTCAAGCCACCCTCAGTGGTTGAGACAAACTTCCTGTTTGTTGCAAGCATGCCCAAGCCAGACCAAATCCAAATGCATTATTCTTCATTCTTTTGCATTACAGGTCTGGGCCCATAGTTGTGAGGTCTGGAAATCTTGGGGTTTGGGAGTAAATGGATGGTCAGCTCCAGAGACCCCACAACAGCTGTAATGGTGGGGCTTAACTGCAACCTCTGCCCCTCCCAGTTCTCTGGTCCACTTCTTCTGTGCGTCATTGTCATCATCGTCCTCCACATTGGAGGTCCTGCGGTTCTCCTTCCTCTCACATCCTGGTACTTCCCCCTGCCCTTGCCCACGTTCACAGTGTAGTAGTTGGCTCAACCTCCTCACCCTGGTATTGAATCTTCAGTACTTCTACTTCTGTCCATTGCCGTCTCACATGACCTCCCCAGCTGCTAGCTGTGTAACATCTGCAGTTCCCTAAGAATACTTGGCCTGCTTCAACCTTTCAAGCACCACTGCCACTAAAGCCTTAAGAGGGGGAGAACTGGGCCTGGGCCTGAACTGCGTGTGAGGTAGCTGGAAGATGCTCTCTCCTGTGGCCAGAGGAAAGGGCTGGTTTGTACCAGGTGGTGCAGTGCCATGGTAGTAGAGAAGGTCATGGCTTCCCTACATGGCTCTGAGACTAGAGAATTGTCCCTGCATGGGGTGGCAGGTCCTTGGCCTGTGTAGGATCAAGCCACCCTCGGGTACCACAACTCCCTTGGCTCCTGTGAACACTGGGCAGATGAAGAGGGGGCTGTCATCAGAACCCAGTCTGAAAAAGGGTCTCAGAGGCCCAGAGAAGGTTGAGAGGGGACATGTGTAGATGTGTGATCTGTCTCTCATGTTGTAAAAGGAAACATCTCCAGCTTCATAGTCCAGGAAAACAGCCACACGGCAAAGGTGCTCTTTCATGGGAAGTATTTTCTCAGGAGAGGACAGGGCCCGATACTGGTTTCCAAACATTTCCAGGGTCCAGAAGCCATTCTGGGGAAGCAGCAGGGCCTCCCCTTTCCTCTCAACACTGTCTCTACAAACCCCGATGGCCCACACCATCACATTCTCCACCTCCACCTCCCAGTAGTGTCTCCCTGAGGAGAAGCTCTCCTGGCCCAGGACACAGGGCCGGCAGTCGAACCTCTCTGGATTGTCAGGCAGGCTCTGCCGGGAGGGGCCTCGACACACACTTCTCCCATCCTCCGACAGGAAGAGTTCTGGATGAGCTGTGTCTGGGTCCAGAACCACGTCAGCTGCAGAAAAAGTCTCAGGTTTAGTGCACTGGTATGATCCCTGGTCCCCAGGAAGCACACAGGGAATTCTCCATGTGGTGGGTTTTCCATGAAGACCCTTTGATCCCAGGCAATTCAGAGACTGGGAATTGCTGAGGCTGCACTTCTGTCTCTCTGTGGTAATTGAAAATCAAGGCTCTCAAGAACCAAGAAAGGTTAGCAAATGAGCCAATGTTTTTTGGGTTTTTTTGTTTTTTTTTCCGGTACCGGGAATTGAACTCACGATCTTGCGCTTGCCAGGGAGGCACTGTGCAGCTGAACTAAATCCCCAGCACCACCCCCTCCGCCCAGAGCCAATGTTAATAGTTCCTACTTTCTCAGCATTCTCAGCCCCCTTGTGTACATATAGTACAGTATATGATCTCTGGGTCTTTCTCTGGTTAGAAACCATCCAGTGTGTCTTACATCAGCAAAGAGGCTTTTACCCCTTGTTCTCTGCAACCGTGAGTCAGTAAAGGAATTAAAGTGGGTTACATGATGTTCTGGGTAGCACAGGGTCTCTTCAGCCAGGCGATAACTCAATTAAATGACTGACAAACGGTAAAGAAGGAGGACAGATGTCCCCAAAAGCCAACCTGCTCCCCAAGAGTTAAGTGACGCAAATGTGTGTGTAGGGAAATATTTCCATCCAGTTTTACTTTAATAACATGGGTTGAAGCCTATAGGGATGTCCTGTCTGGGAAAAGGGTATGCTTCAAGCCCCTCTCTCCCATCTGCATTTAATACTGCTTGCTCAGGTTTTTTTCTTTGTGTGTGTGTTGTGTGTGTGTGTGTATCTGTTGTTGTTTTTTTTTAAGATAAGGTCTTCCCTTGTAGTTCAGGCTGGCCTTGAATGCAGTATGTAGCCCAGGCTGACCTCGAACTTGTGGCGGTCCTCTTGCCTCAGCCTACTACCTTTCTTACTCTGTTAAAATGATTTCCTCCTTTCTCCCTGGATGATGTATCTGACTGTGGCAACTTGGGATGGTTTCCCAGGTCACTTGTGACAATGTTGAAATTTCTTTAAAGAAGAAAAACCCATGTGGCATGGTATTTGGTGAAACATCTATTTCTTGCTGCTTTGGGCAGATAGTGACAAATTATAAAATGCAAGGTGCCTACTCTTAGGAGTAGGCAGATGGATTACGTGTCTCCCTTGTGCATGCCTTGCATTCCACAAAGACTAATCATGGAGTTCCAGTGCTCTCCTGGGAGCAGGAAGGCATTTTGCGGTAGCAAATTATACATCCTTAAATCAGACTTGAGAAAGTTATTGCCTCCTTCCCGCCTCCCATGACTTTTCAACTGGGCAGAGTCTACACCACCTTCTAGATTATAACTAGCTGAGATATTACTGTCTTCTTTCAAATTAACCCAGGATTGAAGAGCAACAACTACTGAAATGTAACTCTAGAGGAGGTCTGCTCTGTAACAAAGAACTCTGGTGTCACGGTTTGTGTCTAGATGTCCCCCCAAAGCCTCATGCCGTCATGGGGTGGGCTTTTGGAGTTTTTGATTGATTCATGGTCCAATGCTGGGATTATAGGTGTGAGTGCTACAGCCATCCTGGGGCAAGAAGCCTGCAGACAATACAAGGGAGGAAAAGAGGCTTGCTATCTAGCTCCTCCCTTTTTGCTCTTGTTGCTTTTGCTGTTTTCTACCACCATGGACTGTTGCCCTCTGCCATGTGCTATGCTGCCTTGGAGCCAGCTGAATATGGACAGAAACTTCTATAAACTGTGAGCTAAAAAAACCTTTCCCTCTTTAATTTGGGTGTTCGGCATTTTGTCTCAGCAATGAGAGAAAAGTAACCAAGACATCTGGTCATCATGGGTTAACATATTGTGAAAAAAAGGGAAAGGTTTGTAGCAAGTAAACTGTAAGGCTGACTAAAAGCTGTGGAGATTTCCTGTGGTGAACCACTCCTAGCACCCTGCTCCCCTGTCCTCTGGCCCTGGCCTCCTGTTCATCTCCTCTAGATGGATGGCTAGGAGAGAGAAAGCTCAGGATCTGAGGGAATGGCAGAGGCACTCACCAGCATGTACGAGGGTTCTTCTCCATCCTGCAAATGACAGGGAGGTGAATGTCATGAGACAATGACTACCCAAGTAAAGCACAAATTGTACTTGGAATAGTGCAGGAAAGGCTAAACTTACGCAATTCCTCTTGAAGTTGCTCTGAAAAAGAAACAAAAGTAAAGTCCTCAGCAGAAGGAAGAGAATTTGGATTCATATTAAATGATATAAGGATTGGCCCTTTGTCTAACATCAACTTCTTTGTCTCTCCAATACAGGAACCAGAAATGATATACAGTCAGGTGGCTGGATAGTATTAGTGCTTTTTTAGGTTTGCTTTTGTCAGATAGTCCAGTGCCTCAGGCCTGGACAGTGAATGATCTCAATCATGAGTGAATCTTTGGAGTGTGGGCTGGAGGAAGGACAGCTCAGAGAGTTATCTGAGAGGTTCTGAGCTCCAGTCTCTGCTGCTGCCTCCGGGAGATTCCTCTGTCCTCCCCATGCTGCTGCCTACCAGAACAGAGCTCTCTCCATGACTGCAAACTGTCCCCCTACTCTTTTACCTTTTATTTGCTCTTTTTTTCCCCACAGTTCTTGCCCTACTTTCTTACGTGCAATTTCTCTTTCTTCACATTCACTATCTTTTTCCTCTGACACATTCTTTTTTCTCCTGTGGAGTTTCTTGATGAGAGAGATGATCCCAGACATGAGCAGAATCAGAATAGCTAGGCTGACAGCCAGAGCCACTGTCCAGGGAGACAGGCTGGGTGTGAAGGACTCTGAAAAGGAAGCCAGCAAAGACCCTCTCAGTGATGAACAGGATGCCTGGGTTTGAAGCACCCTGTTGGATCCCTTCGGTGTGGTTTCTTCCCCAGAAGCTCCATACTGGACATAGAGAGGTGGGCTCAGCACTGGTGGAGCCCAGGAGATAGAAGAGTACAAACACCAGAGTCCCTGTGGGGACTCTCAGTACCTGTCACGCCAAATCACCACAACCACCAACCTGGTCTGAGCCATCATGCCTCTTTGTCTAGAAGGTCCCATTTCCTTCCTCCTTGTGCAGTCCTAGCCAGGCACAGTCAATTCTCCATGCACGAGTCCGGTATCATGTGACTATGTCACTAAACCTGCTCACACGCTTCCTGTCTCATTCACACTAAAAACCAAAATCTGCTTCTGGCACATGTTACTACTCTGATACGGTCTCAGTCTCCTGAAGTCCTTTCCTCTTATTCCCTGTACTCACTCCATTCCAGCCACACCAGCATCGCCTCTAGAGATTCTTGCAATGCCAGACACACCCCTGCTTCAGACCCTTTGCACACATGGCTTTGGTGATCCAGGCCACACAATCTCCCAAGTATATCATGCCTCATTCTCTTGTTTGTTCAGTTCCCATATTTACAACAGACTCTCTTGACCAACCTGGTAATAACTGAAACATCCCAAGGAAGTGGGATGTTTCCTTCCCCTTTTACCTCCTTGTTTAATTTTTCCTACAGTATTCATCAAGGTCTGATGTAACATACAGTTTAATTATTGAATCGCTTTAATTAATCATTGCACATAATGCTCTCCATCTCTCTAGAATGTAACTGCTGTGAGTGCATGGATCTTCCTATGTTGTGCCCAGTGATTAACCCCGGTTTCTTTTCTTTTTCTTAAACCCTCAGTTTCTAGAATAGTATTTTGAACATAGGCAATGCTTACTATGTATTTGTTGTTTCAGTTTCTCTACAGTTATGAGCATCTGTAGATACTCTGAAAATCCCCTGAGCAGGAAGAGAGGCCTTTAGCAGATAGCATGAACAGGTATACAGACTCAGGATTATTCTTTTCTTTTAAGGATTATTAATAATGCTTAAAATTTATTGCAGTACCAGGATCTTATTAGGGAAAAGAAGGTCCAATCTTCCCTCATAGAAGAGGCTCCTACTCATGTATTTTGAGAGTACTTAATTTCCTCCTTGTGACAAGGGAACAGGCCTCAGCTCAACTGTGTCCAATTCTTTAGGGCCCAGGCCCCTACCACCCCCAGTTCCATCCTCCAGCACCTCCACTGGCTCCCCTCTGTTTGTTGAAGCTCCCTTTCATGTGACAAGGCCCCAGAAGGCAGAAAACAAACCTGGGATGAAAATCACAGTTTCCAGCTCTTGGCCGAGCAGAGCGTTACTGATGGAACAGGTCATGTTCCTCACTGAGGAATCTCTGATAATCACAATCATGGTGACTGTGAAGAGGCCATCTCCGTCCACAGTGTAGGCTTCCTCCAAGGAGGGAGTGACCTTGCCATAGGGGTTCCTCCACACTGCGTGGGGCTCTGGATACCACCCTGCAGATGTGCACTCCAGCCAGAGGCCCTCGTCCTCGTAGCCCTTCATTTCAATGAGGGGCTTGGAGCCCAGGCCTGGGGAGGGAAAACAAGGGCTCAGGTAATCAATAAGGCAATGCTATCTCAGCCATCTTGTCTTATAAAGTCAGCTCTTAATGGTACACCCACCTAGGGAAAAGGAGGTGAACCACAAGTAGCACCCAGAGGAAATGAACACACACATTCCAAATATTCCTGCAGGACCCTTCTGGAAAAGAGAACAACAGAAAGCAGGAGAGAGGGAGAAAGAAGCAGGAAGGAGGAGAGACAAAGGGAAGGAAGAACCTTGAGTTTGGTGAGGCCAGGAGACCACTATGCCAAATAAACCTGAGATTTCTGAGAGCAAATGAAGATCCTGACTCTGCCCTCTACCTGCCCATCACAGCACCACCCAGCACTCGTTGTCTTCTGTAAATGCTTGCTTTTTTGATTCATTCTGCCACAGACTCTAATTTTCTCACTTCTAAGTGGTCCGACCAGAAACAGGCATGCATAGGACTGCATGTTCTGCTCCTGGCACTTCTCATAGGCCTTGGGCTCCTGAGGTTCTAAGCACATAAACATGCTAGGCTGCCATAATCATAAGATGCTTTTTGTCTTCGACACACTGTATTTCTCTTCTCATTCAGAGCTTCCTGTCACAGTTTACTTCTCCCAGCCAAGTGAAATAAAGGAAACCATGCAGAGCTATTCAGCACAAGGGTGGCTGCTTTTAGGAGTGAGGGTAAAGCAATCATGCAGACCCCACCATCAGCCCATTTCAGAGATGTTTACCTACTAGGTGCTCAGTCCATTAGGTGATTTTTGCATCATGCTTCCTACATAATACAACAGTCTCCTACTGGAAAGACCTGAATGCACCTGAGATACTTCAAACACCAATCTCACCTTCTCAATTTATGTCATCAGAAAAATTCTATGAATCCAGACTCCCCTTAGCTGTATTCTCTCATTAAAAGAGTCTTCACTTAAAAAGAATACTACAGGAGGCTGAGGCAAGAATAGCATCAGTTCAAGGACAGTCTGGGCAACTTGGTGAGTCCCTGTTTCAAAAAGGGGAGGCGAGGAAGTAACTCAGTGCTAGAGGACTTGCTTAGTATGCATGAGGTCCTGGGTTCAATACTCAGTATTGTGAAGAAAAAATAAAGGTTAACATGGTAAATTTAATGTTATGTGTTTATTATTACAATAAAAATAAACAGTAACAACACAAAAGGAAATTCTGGGTATGTAAATAAGCTCCATGTTCATAGTCCTGGGCTATTTCTATCCCTGAGCCTCGTGTCCAGTGATCATCCAGACTTTAAAGGAGTAGTTCCTTTGTTAAGTTTACCCAACAAATTGTACTAAATTCAGAAAATTAAAACACTCAAGTCCAGTGCTTCCTGCCCAATTTATTTTTTCTAAGGTGGGAGGAATTAGCTGTACATTTGAAGACTTACACAGAAAACTTGAAGAAGACCTAAAACAACTTGGCAAATTGGAAAAAAAGTGCTATAGAACATTCTATCATGAGAAAGTATCCAATGAACCCAACAAAGAATAAAATCAAGTAGGGAAAAACAAGTAAGAAAAAGTTCTATAGAAACCTAATTTAGAGTAG